TCACTTGGTAGCCCAGGCTGGCCTCAAACTCACAGAGATCCGCCTGCCTCTGCCTCCCGAGTGCTGGGATTAAAGGCGTGCGCCACCACCGCCCGGCAGTTTTTATTCTTAAAGGATACAGTTATTAGCATGTACAAAAACATTAGATTTTTGTCTCTTCTATTAACATAAAACAGATCATATCGAAAGTCACTTCAAGCCCCCTTGTCAAAAGCCTACTGGATGGCAGCTGGAAAGATGGCTTCATAGTTATGAGTACTTCCTGCTCTTGTAGAGGACCTAGGGTTGGTTCCCAGCACCTACGTGGTGGCTTACAACCATCCATAACTCCAGTTCCAGAGGACTTGATGCCCTCTTCTGACCTCCACCGGCACCAAGTGTGAACATGGTCCTCATACATATAAGCAGGCAAAGCATTCATTGACATAAAATAGAATCAGATAAATATTTTAAAAAGCCTATCAGGTACTGTCAGAAGGTCTCACTGGGGAACATCTGTGACTTGCTAGGCACAGCCGCTGCTCCTGTCTGTGTAAAGCCACACAGACAGAGTTGCACCGCATTGCATGAAAAGCACACGTTCTGTGTGAGAAATTCCCTGTTTGAACAGCATCGCTTACTGTAAATACTTTATCAACTATTTCCCAGCAAAGAAAACTGCCAGAGAGAGGCTACCGGAAATTAAGGACACCTTTAACGACTCTTGGTGATAAAAGTGTGAATGTGCTACACTCTTTAAGTATGAACACCTTCTTGGAAAGTATCTGAGAAACATCGAAGCTGTGAATGTTTTTCCTAGAGAGAAAATGTTACCTTTATTTCTAGAGACTATTCTATGGATAGTACCGAGACATAAAATGCAAGATGTTTATGAAAAAAAAAATCCTTGTACTTAGGGGACTGTGAATTAAGTTGGGAAACTGAGCATAAACTTAAGGAGGAAAATACCCAAACCAAGCTGCCTGAGTGACTGCTGTGTTAGTCAGTTTTCTATGACTATGACAACTCCCTGGGAGACAATCAACTTATTGAGAGAAAAGGTTCATTCTGGTTCCGAACTGTAAAGGTTCTAGTACATGATCAGTTAGACTTGTTGCCTTTAGGCAAAGCTGTTTATCATGGTGGAAATCTCATGGTAGAGCAAAGCCCATGAAAGAGAGAGGAAAGAACTAGGGTCCCAAGATCCAGTTTAGGGCATATACCCAATGGCCACAAGACCTCGTATGAGGTTCTAGGTATTATTATTATTTCTTTTTTCTGTCTCCCCACTTCTTTTTCCCTTTCTTTCTTTTCTTTTCTCTCTTCCTCCTCCTCCTCCTTCTTCTCTATTTTTGGGATCCTGGGGACCAAGTCCAGGATCTTAATCATGACCTTACTTTATACCACTGAGCAATATATACTCCTAGCCCCTTAAAGGCTCAGCCACCTCATAGACTGAGGACCAACCTTTAACATATGAGCCTTAGAGGAACACTCATTCAAACCATAGAAAGTACAAATTAATAAATAGGATCATAACAAAAAATTATAGAGAAGTTAAATTTCTTTAAATGTTGGTAGTTTCTAGATTCTTCTATGATCTCTAGGGGAGGTCCTGATTCTAACAAGTCAGACACAAGTGCCTTGGAAGACACTTCTGTCTTTTGACGAGAGACACATGTACGGCTTAGAAACCTCTCTGCCTTGCTCTTGAGCTGTCAAGGTACTCCGGCTAGGGTACTAAACTCTTGGGTGCAGAGGTGTCTACAACCTTTGTTGTTTGGCCGGACTGAGGGCTTCTCTTTTCTGGGCAAAGTAGTGTTCAGCCTCCCAGGAAGTTTCCATGCACTGTATTTCTAGTGCAGCAGTAGTACCCAAATTCAGCACTTCCCCAACTGAAAATCTCGCTAGAGTCCATAATCACAATAGCGAACAAGCCAGGCTTTGTGTATACGTTCCTCATAACCTGTATTCTAGAGGATGAGGGGGCATTAAAAGAACCATATGGCTTTTTTTTTTTTTTAAGGCAACATTCGTGCCTTTTTTTTTTTTTTTTTTTTTTTTTTTTTGGTGTTTGTGTATATGTGGGGTACTGGGGAACAAACATACTTTTTAGTTTTTTTAAAACACTTTTTAACATTAATTTTTATGTGTATGGATGCTTTGCCTGCGTGTATGCCTGTGTACCATGTGTATGCACAGTACATGATGAGGCCAGAACAGGGCATCTGATACAGAACTGGAGTTCCTGAAAGTTGTGAGCTGCTATGTGAGTGCTGAGAATTGAACCTGGGTCCTCTAGAAGAGCAGCCAGTGCTCTTAATCACTGAGCCATCATTCCAGTCCCAGACTACTCTAAGTTTGTCAACTTGAGCTATCTAGGGAGTACCAAGACAACCAAGGCTGTGTAGCAAGACACTGTTTTAAAAACAGCCAAGCGGGTCGAGGGGAGAAAATTACCAGGAATGGCGGGTCATGTCTGTTATACCAGCATCTGAGAAATGAAGGGATGATCAGAAGGTCGAGATCACTCTTAGCTATGTAGCTAGTTTGAAGCCAGTTTGGGTGACAAGACAGCTTGTCTAAAAAAATTATAATCACAGTTTGTGATACAAAAATCTCATTATAAAAAGTATTTACACAGACCTTTGGGTGAGAACCTGGGCTGTTGAATGCATTGGCACAGGAGACAACTTCCTGAATAGAATACCAGCAGCACAGACACTAAGATCAACAATTAATAAATGGAACTTCATAAAACTAAAAAGACAAAACAGAAGCCTACAGAATTGGAAAAGATCTTCATCAACTCTACATCTGACAGAAGGCTGATCTTGAAAATATATAAAGAACTCAGGAAACTAGACATCAGAATAACAAATAATCCAATTAAAAAATGAGGCACACACCTAAACAGGGAATTCTCAACAGAAGAATCTCAAATGGCAGAGAAATACATAAAGAAATGTTCATCATCCTTAGCCATCATGGAAATGCAAATCAAAATGACCCTGAGATTCCATCTTACACTTGTCAGAATAGCTAAGATCAAAAACACAAATGACAGTTTATGCTGGAGAGGGGATGTGGAGCAAGGGGAACACTCTTCCATTCCTGTCAGGAGTGTAAACATGTACAGCCACTTTGGAAATCAATATGGTGATTTCTCAAAAAATTGGGAATCAATTTACCTCAAGACCCAATGATACTACTCTTGGGCATATACCCAAAGGATGATCAATCATACCATAAGAACACTATTCAGTTATGTTCATGGTAGAGTTATTCATAATAGCCAGAACCTGGAAACAACATAGATGCCCTTTAACTGAAGAATGAATAAAGAAAATGTGGCACATTTATACAATGGAGTATTGACTCAGCTGTTAAAAACAATGACATCAGGACATTTGAAGGCAAATGGATGGACTGAGAAAAGATCATCCTGAGTGAGGTAACCTATACCCAGAAAGACAAACATGGTATGTACTCACTCATAAGTAGATATTAGCGGTAAAGGAAAGGATAATCATGCTACAATCCGCAGAACCAGAGAGGCTAGATAACAAGAAGTGTCCAAGTTGGGATGCATGGATCTCCCTGGGAAGGGGAAATAGAAGAGATCTGGGTGGACTGATGGTGGGTGGACATGAGAACTTGAGGGATGGGTGAGAGGGTGGGTAGAGGGGGTGAGTGCTGAGAGAGATGACTGGAAAGGGCGGCTTTTGGGGGTCAGATAGAAACCTGATGCAAGGGAAACTCCCACAAGTCTACAAGGAGCGCTCCAGCTGAGACTCCTGGCCG